AAAGGATGATTCTTGCATATAATATGGAGATACTCCTGTGTCTGGAGAAGCCATGTTTAGGACTCCAGATTCATGGCCGAATTCATCTCTTATGTCCCAGGGAAGGGCATATTCCATGAAGGGGAAATGGTGAGTCTGGGTTTCCCAAATCAAGGACAGTGAGCTGGAGTTTCTTTCTATATCTGGGAAAGATACATTCCCAAAGGGAAATGGCACCATGGACTTGTAAGCTGCCAGGGAGGCAGATTTAGCCTTGGCCCAGGCTAAAAAAGCAATAACTCTTTGACTGCTGTAAACAAACTGATATTGACTGTTGCTTTTGTCAATTTATGGAGTGACATTATTAAGCGTCCATGGCTTATCTCTGCTAAAGGGAGATAATCACATTGTTTACAGCCTTACAAAAAATTTAGTATCTAGGAAAATGGATTCCATATGAAAAGAAAGGAACAACAACAACATTCTTGTTTGACACAAGTGTTTGGACAAGAGATTGGGGATGATAAATGGATTTATTGCAAGAGTCCAAAATGACAATCATGACTCGAGTCAAAAAATTCTTCAGTATATTAAAATAAATGGAATCTACTGGAGGGGGAATGTTCATTCTATTTGAAATTCAAAAGGATTTTTATTATTAGGAACTGCTAGAATCTGTGCAACAGCAGTAGATTTTGAATTATGCATTAGAATAGATGTGGCATTCTTTTTATTTTTTTATTTTAATCATTTGTTTTCTGCATGACATTCCCTATCTTTGTGTTGGAAATGCAATTTTGAAAAAGATGAGGATGGGAAGTTCTATAGCATGCAATATCAAATATAGAAAAGTTGATAAATATAACTTTAGATAAGTAAAAACAGAAAGTAAAATGACAAATGATCTTCAGGATAATTGTACAAAAACAAATACTAATACAGACAAACCTGATAACTGTAGGAAAAGTTGAAAGAAATACTAACTGCAATAATTGACAAAATACATTAATTTATTATATTACTTTTTAAGCAATATTTACCCCCTTCCCCCATTAAGCTTAAAATTATAACTTTAAAAAAAGCACTATCTCTCTTTGAGTTGAGAACACCAATTCTTAATTTTATAATAGAAAGCAATACAATACCATCTGGTTGTATTATGTTTATAAACTTTCTAACATACTGTTACATGTTACTTAATAGGAAGAAACACTACTATTAATTAACCCAAGGTTTCTTTCAATTTAATATATTGCAATGTTAAAAAGCAATAATAAAATTAAAGTTCACATTGTTTACTAGGTAAATCTGATATTGGGATCATACTCTTTGTTCAGTTATGAAGAAATTCATAAATACAAGGGTTGGCTGAATCCTTCAGGCTGACTGAAGGAATGATGCTAGAGTTGTGAAATCTTCCATGCATTAATTTCAAATCTTATTAATAACTGTATTGTTTATTTCCAGGTAAACTAACATCTAACTGTTCAAAGGCGACTTCAAAAGTAACAAGTGATTTCTCTTGGAAATAAGCAAAATTTAGCTTTATGGTGTTATCAAGTATCTGCAGAAAAGGAATTTAGCTTCCAAGAACATTCATGCTGATATGGTTGTTACATTAGTGGATGACACCCTAGTTTTATCAATAGTGCAACAGGGCAGATGAATTTAGGAGAGGAAGGGAGTCTTGAAGATGAGCCAAGGTCGGGACATCCTGCAACTACCACCACCAAAGAAAACCTTGATAGTGTTCACTACATGATGATTAATGACAGGTGATTCACTATAAATCAAATAGCCAATGCTATTAGCATATCCTGTGAGAGTTGTGAATATTCCACACAATTAAATTTGTGTGACAAAGGTTTCTGCTCAGTGGGTGCCACATCTTCTGACATCTGATCAAAAGCACACACTGATCATGGGAAAATCTCACATTGTTTGAGGCAGATACAGCTGGTTTCATTGAATGGGTGTTGGATGAATCACTGAGCCAAACACCCAGGAAAACTGATGAAAGGGGTTGTTTCTTCAGAACAATGCTCCAGCAGACAAGTTCTTGGTTTCACTGGCCTCTTTATGTGACTGTGGCTTTGAATTGGTTCATCACCCTCCATATTCTGATTTGACTATCATCTGTTCCCCAAATGAAAAAAAACACACTTTGCTTGAAACCGGTATTGCACTGAGATAATGTCTGATGACTTTTTTTTTAACCAACAGGATGAAGTCTTTGAACAGTCAGATGTCAGTTTACCTGGAAAGAAACAATGCAGTTATTAATAAGAGTTGAAATTAATGTATGCATTACCCCAGACTGCTCTGTATAGTATGTTGCTTTGGTCTGGAGGATTAAAGAAAAACAATGTTGTAACCTTACCTTATTTAAACAAGGTTCCTTATTTTACTCCAGTAATAACAGCTAATTTGATCAGCAAAAACTTTAAATTCTTTACTACAGTTAGAAATAGTAAATTATTTAATGAGATGCTTGTTTCTACTTATTGTTCAATAATTTCTCAACATCTGGTGAAATATTTGTTGATAACAGGAGCAAAACATCATCCAGGTGGTCATCACTCAACCTTGTTCTCAAATGACTTTTAGTATAATTCATTTTTAAAAAAAATTGTTTGCAAGCATATGTACTTTTAAATAATGATGCCATCATTTTTTAATTATTCAATAGGCTTTTATATTTTCTGCTTGACAAAACATTTCTTATAGAAGTCAATTATGGATTCAGCATGAAATTTTGATTTTTAAAAATTTGTTGCATTGTATGCTGATTAAATATAACTGATAGGTTTCTGCCACTTGCTCCACATCCATTTCATAAGGAGTACCATATAATTTAAATTGATTTTCCATATTGTTGGAAGTCAGTGAGAATGGGAGAAAAACTCACTTCCCAAATCCAGATTAGAGCTCACAAAGATGTGATATTGGAGATTTTGGAAAATGAGAGTAGTTTTCTTTCTGAAGTTGTGATTCCAACAGTCAGTTTTCTGTTAAAAGCAATAATAGAACTAAACATTTCAAATATAAGCTTGTTCTTGAAACTGAAGATTTAAAGTTTTTACGTGTGCCATAATGTCCACTAAAAATGCTATGTTGGCAATCCACTCAGGATCCTGAAAGTAAGAATTATCTTGGTATTTGTACCAAAAAACTCGTTCCAGCATTTTTCTGTGGCTAAGCCATTGAACATTTGAATAACATATAATGTTGCCATACTCTGTTTCTTTTATGAATTCTAGAAATTGGCAATGATTGTTTTTGCAACCACTGTCATGATGTCCTTAAAATTCAATGACTTTGCACATAATGCATCCTGATGGATAATGCAATGGAGTTTGTGATCTATACCAATGTGGAGTAATGCAGCAAACACCTTTTTCTCTTTGATAATTGCTGGTGCCTCATCTGTGGTTACTCCAATAAGCTTTGATAAATCAATATTCATTTCAGTTATCCATTTTATGAGGCTTTCAAAAATTTTTCTCCAGTGCCAGTGTCCTTCATAGGAATTAACTGTACAATTTCTTCTGCAATATCAAATATTTGTATTAGACCCCCCCCTCACAAATACTGAAAGTTGATAAGTATCTGTCATATCTAAAGTTTCATCAATAGTAATGGAATAATATTCAAGATTTTTTTAAATGTCCTCCAAGCCACCTTTGACATTTGCTGCCAGTTCCTTAATTCCCCTTGTTACCATTCTTGCCAATAAGCTGATTGTAGAAAATAATTTCTTTATTTTTTTATTTTTTTTTACGAACAAAATCCACTACATTCAACATGCATTCTTTGAAAAACTTTCCATCACTAAAAGGTTTCATCTTTTCTACAATTAGTTTTGATGCCTCATAGCTAGCACAAATGCTTCTGTCATTTTCTTTAACCTTTCTTGTGAAAAACCATGACTGCTTTGTTAAATCATTTCTCACCCATGCAATTTCTTCTCGTGTTTTTCTAGTAAAATTGTTAATGATTACGACACGCTTCATAGTGCCGTTAAATATTTGAAACTTTCTTCTGGGCAATGGTTTCTTGATAAATTAAGCAAATGCATTTTACAAAGTGCTCAATGAAAAAATAGCCCAGTAACCAGCTTTCATTAAAATTTTGGTACTCAAAATCCAGTTTTCTTTTCTTAGTTTCTATGGCCTTGTTTCTGTTCAGAGAAAAAAAAAAGACATCTGGAAAAGAAAGAAAGAAAGAGTATGGTAATTGAGTTATAGTTAAGTTGGTGGGCTGGACAAAAATCCTTTGTGGGCCAGATGTGGCCTGAGGGGTGCCGATCCCTGCTCTAAAGTACAGAAATTCTGTGTGTATTTGTATGTTCATGCAGTTTAAAGTTGTTTTTTTTTCTTAATTCCTTTCCCCTACTTAGTGTCTTTCTTTGCTTATACATTTGCTTTAGAATGTATTTATTTCTCTATTATTATTAATTAATCAATTATTATAAAACTTAGTTTATCTTAAGCATGTATGAAAGTTGCTGTATCTTTGTTTTTATTTGTAGAGAGTTTGGCTCTAAAGTAATCCAGGTAAAACCCATTATCAAAGTATTGGCTAAATTACTGGATGATCGAGACAAAACAGTTAGGGAAGAAACTAAACAGTTGGTCATAGAGATCTATCGATGGGTTGGTGCCGCTATCAAACCGCAATTTTCCAACTTCAAGCCAATCCAGGTGAGTTATTAACAATTTTCTTTCATTTACTTATATCTGGCTCAGATTCTTTTAATTATTTTCTGAAGTTAAATTTATGTAGTAAGTAAAGCAATCATTTCTTGAAATAAGTGTTAAAATTTTTAAAGCGATAAATTTTAGAATTATATTTTATAGTATGAAAAACCTTAAATAACTTATATATGAAATTATAAGGCCATAGCCAATTTCATGTATGGAATGCAAAATTTGATATATCAGAAAATTGAGTTTCTGGCAATTTTTTAATAAAAGTCTGCAAGGTAACTTTTTTGTATCCTATTATCTTGAAGGCTTATGGCTATATTACATTGAAACACTAGTTTTTGTATGATCACTGAAGTTAAGCAATGTTGAGCCTGGTCAGTACCTAGATGGCTGACCAATTGGGAATACTAGATGCCGTAAGCTTTGATTATGTGATTGATGTAATGGATAATGACTTTGAATTGGAACTCTGCTCTATGATTTCCAATTCCAGTCTGGTTCCTTATATTCAATTATGTGCAAAGATCCTTGGGAAAGGTATGAATCCACCTCTTCTCCCCCACCAGCTATGAGTTAATTAGTTGAACTTGTCAGTAAATCATTCTCAAAGAAATTTTTACAATCTAAAAATATTTTATGGCTTTAAATAATTTGTAAAAGAAATACAAATCAATCAATCAACTTGATTGTTGGTGTGTTAAAAAGATGACTTTTTAAGTGTTAAATTCAATATTTTCAGTTATATTGGTAGCTGCTACTAATCTCTTACATTAGTTATGTGATACTTATATTGAAATACATTTTGATCTTAACTAGTAAATGAGAAATGTTTTGTATAGAATGTTTTTAGTTGATAAATTGACAATATGCATATGTTCAGTTTATTTTATCTTTGTAGGTCCAAGAGTTTGAAGCAGAATTTGAAAAACTTCCTGATAAAAAGTCAGTGCAGACACGTTTTATGCGATCACAACAAGACCTAAAAGCCAAAATGGAAAACCAAATTGCAGCAAGTGCTTCATCAGCAGATGGAGAGGCTGGAGGTGTGTATGTTCTTAGCATCTGCAATTAAATGTTTTTTTTTTTTTTTTTTTTTTTTTTTTCTTGAGTGCTTACAAATTTTGCAAACCTAACTGGTTTTAGGCTTACAAAAGGTTATTTTTTTCTCTACCTCCTCTTCATTAGTTTAGTTAAAAGGGACTGTCATACATCTATCATCAGTTACAAGTGCATTGAAAGTGGTATAGTATATGACACTTTTTGAGTGATGCTGTATTTACCAAAATGATATAGATTTTGAGATAGCAGGTAACAGAGGAAGGGACAATAAGAAATTGTGTGTCGTATTAATAAAAAAAAAAAAAAACTCTGTTTGGATAAATAATGCTGCTACTAACATATTTTTGATAGCTCAATAGCAAAAGCCAAATCAGACTTTGTGCACAAGACATGGGAATAAATTGAGGTCAAAGTTATTGCTAGAAAACAAAATTAGAATTAGTTTGGTTTCTTCTTTTGATGTTTGTTGTATAGTAAAATGGACTCCTCTATTGTGGCACTAGTGAGCTTTGTCAGTTGAAAACTTGGTATGTCCTGAAATGTATATATGTAAGTAAAGGCTTGTAACACATATCAAGCTGAGTGTCTGCTTTTCAGCTGAAACAGTTGCAAAATATAGAATAATAACAATGTTGTCCTTAAATGGAAAACTCATTCTATCAAAGTCCAATCAATATCAGTGACTTTACCAAAACTTTAAGCTTACTCTTGTGGAGAGAGTACCAGATATTCTTGGTATTTATTTACCAGAAACTTTGGAATAAAACAAACAGGCTCAAGGGTATAAGGTATAAAAAAATAATATATATTTTATTCATGAGTCTTTTGTTATTCGGTGTAGCAAAAGTTTAGAAGGCAGATCTTGGTAGCAGTCTGGAGAAAGTGTGTTTCAGTTAGGTAGTGGATAGTTTTGAAGCCAGAACTAGGCAGAAGTAGCCCTCTTAGAAATAGATGGCAATCTGCTGTTTTTCTTGGCCCTAAGAAGGGCAGAAAATGTCATTAAGCAGATAACCACTTAACTTCTTCACATGACACCCTTGGCTAGTTTCCCTATCAGTTCCTTCTCCAATTCTGCCTCAGGGCTTTCAATATTTATCCTTTTGATAAGGCTCCCAGACTATTGGTGTGAACCTTGGTTTTGGCTAACATCAAATTTGATTGGCTAAAATTATTTTATTTTTCTGCGTTCTTTTCTTTTTCATTTTTTATATAGCAGAAGTTATGTATGGAGCCTGTTTGATTTTTTGGGTAGTTTTTAGTCACAAATGGCTAGACTCTGGTCCAGCAAACTTATGCCGGGTTCAGTCTTTTTAATTTTTTTTTTTTTTTTTCCTGAGGGTTGCCTTCTCATTAGTTGAGAGAGAAATAGATAGAAAGGTTTAGAGAGAAAGAAAGAGATAAAGGTTTAAAAAAAAAGTGCAAATGCCTTATTTTAATTTTCTTTGTTTATATATATATTATTTTTATATTTTATTTTTTATCAAGGCTCTCTCTACACTCTCCAATATCTGATTAGTTAGAATCAACCAATCATTACCAGCCTCAATGGGATTTTACTTGATCAGAGGAATTTCATTTACAGTGAGATCTAAAGTATTTGGGGAAATCTCTGAACTTTTATTTAATTATTTTTTTTTGTCTTTTTCCTCTCTCTCCTCCCTAGTCTTGCCTTTATACTGTCCACACAAATGCCAAAACTCTTGTATAAGAGTTTATTATAGATGATTTCTGTACTTCATCTTAACTTAGGTTTATGTATTTTATTTATGATAATTACAAGAGGTATTTGCTCTGGGAGTATAGATCACAGAATAGTGAACAGTTTCATTGTTTAATATAAACTTATTCACTATGTTCTTTGCTGACTTAATTTATTAGCAGCAATAATTGTTTTAACAATATTACATGTGATGTAATAATCCCTTTCTTGTAAAGGAAATTTGAAGCATGAAATGGACTTTGATAATATTGTTTAATTATACAATTCTAAATCACAAATTTTTCAGATATCCTTTAACTAATGGAAAATTATTCGTGTATTTTCTGAAATACATTATTGGTTATTATAATTATACAGTTATAAACATAAAATTTGTAAAACCTGAAATAAGACAAATATTCCAGTAAATTTTTAATTGTTGAATTTTTTGTTTTTGTTTTGTTTTTGTTTTGTTTTTGTTTTGTTTGTTTGTTGTTTGTTTGTTGTTTTTGTTTTGTTTTTGTTTTGTTTTTGTTTGTTTGTTTGTTGTTTTTTTTTTTGTTTGGTTGGTTGGTTTTGGTTTTTGGTTGGTTGTTGTTGTCTTTGGTTTTGTTTTTAACTGCCTTCTTATTTTCTTTTGTCTATTATAGAAAACCAAGTTGAGGAAGAAGTGGACCCATATGACCTGATAGAACCTGTCAATATATTGGCTATGTTGCCAAAAGATTATTATGAAAAAATAGTAAGTGCTTCAACTTTTTTTCAGTTTTAAAATTAAAAATAGTCACCATATCTTGTACTGTGAAAAAGTCATGATATTGGAGGAAAAGCTAAAAATACTGAAATGTATTGTAAATTATTAATTACTGCAGTAATTTTTTTTACCCATCCTATTTGTGTTGCTTTTTATTGAAACCTTGATTGTCATTCTATGGTTGTAAGTTATTCTTTGTTTTACATTTGTACTGTTTCTGGAAGTTGTAATAAAAAGCAACAGAAAGATGAAAAACCTTGGACTTTAAAAAATGTTTTGAAAAAAAATTTTGCAGCATTTGAAAGTTCAAATTATTATAAATTTATACTGCTCGATGATTTTGAATTGCAAATGTGCCAGCAATGTTAATTTTGAATTTCAAATTATTAAAAATAAATTTGCTTGCTGAAGATGTCTTCTGAAAATCTTTCAAATTTTGCAATTGGAATTTGACATAAGATATTAAAAATAATACACTATTCATTATTGAGGGGAGATATATATATATATATATATATATATATATATATATATAAAGAATATGAAGGTTTGGAAGAGTTGAGCAAAAAATAATGTAAATAAATATTTTTAAGATTTTAAGGATTTAAATGTATTGGTTAAATGTCAAAATATTTCGCTTTTTATACTATAGGAAGCCAAAAAGTGGCAGGAGCGTAAGGAAGCTTTGGATGCACTTCTTAAATTGTCAGAAAATCCCAAACTAGAGCCTGGAGACTACAATTCTCTCATAAAATCGATTGTTAAGGCAAGCATTTTTCACTTTCTTCTTTTTTTTTTTTTTTTCACTTTTTTTAAGTAAAATGGATGATGCTTTACATGTCATGTAATCAATATTAAAATTCAGTTTAAAGGTGTAAGGTTTTGCCTCAAGCAACTGAATAAATTGCAAATTTTCTTGACATCCTTTAATTTGATCTTTTTGGATTTTTTTTTTCTTGCATATTTATAATTATTTTTTCCTTATAGATTATTGGCAAAGACACCAATGTCATGCTTGTTGCTTTGGGAGGGAAGATATTAGCTGGTATTGCTAATGGTCTTCGTAAAGAGTTTAAAACTTATGCAAATATGGTAAGTTTTGAGGGTTTTTTTTTTTTTTTTTTTTTGGGTTCCTCCAAACTCAAATGCAATTATTGAAGGAAATTGTTTTCAATATAGTTTTAAAAATTTTGATAAACATAGCAAACTACTTTTTCTGTTTATTTTTCCATCATTGGATATATGACTAAAAACAAAATCTTGTGTATTTATTGAAATAAGATGTTTTAATTATACAAATTAAAAATGTGATTTTTTTTGGCGGGGGGTTATGTCTTCTATATCTGGATTTGCAGTTAGACTTTATATTTTAAAACTTTTAGTCTTTAAAAAAAATAACAATTTTGCAATCAATATCTGTTTTTGTGAATTTTAGTTATGGCTTGGCAATGAATTTGAATTCTAGTTAAATAATTTGGTTTGTTCAATTAATGCAATTTTGTAAAAACTGAATTTGACATGTTTGTGTTAGGGGAAAATCAGGCAAGTATTAATTTCTCTTTTTTTTTTTTATATATATATATATATATATATATATATATATATATATATATATATATATATATATATATATAAATTACTTTTTTGCACTTGAAACATATGCCACTGAAAATGCTTTTAGAGGATGCTTAAATTTAAAATAAAAATAATTTATAGTATCACAAAATAATTGTGTATATTTGTTTTTTTTTCTCTCTTAGTGTTTTGGTGTACTCCTTGATAAATTCAAGGAGAAAAAACTCACTGTTGTGGTTGCTTTGAGAGAAGCTATTGATGCAGTTTTCTTTTCAGTAAGTGTTCTTTCTATATTTTTATTTTGTGTGTATTGTAATTTTTCCACATTATCATT